GTCGTAGAATGTTTTTACAAGTGGAAGGTGCGATCTAATTTCATGCTTCTTAGAAGTACCTTTATTATATATATATATATTTTTAAAGATTTTATTTATTTATTTGACAGAGACACAGTGAGAGAGGGAACACAAGCAGGGGGAGTGGGAGAGGGAGAAGCAGGCTTCCTGCCGAGCAGGGAGCCCAATGTGGGGCTCGATCCCAGGGCACTGGGATCATGACCTGAGCCAAAGGCAGACGCTTAACAACTGAGCCAACCAGGAGCCCCTTAGAACTACCTTTAAAAAAGCACCAAGAAAGTAAATGGTAGTAGAATTCAAAGATGAATATTATTGAAAACTTAAAATCCTTACTGGCAAGATTTTAAGAGATCATTTATGAAATGAATGGCTTCATCTTCCCAGAAATGCCCTGATAATTGCTGTCAGACATACTTTCTTGACTCACATAGGATTAAAATACAAAAGATGTTTGAGGCATCTTCGTTTGTCAGATTCACTTCTTCGCTGAAGCAAAGTGTATGTGCTAAGAAAGTATAAAACTCTGTTAAGGAAAAATATTAATGGGTCACCCATTAAACTTTAGCCTGGAATTGCTACTTTAAATGTTTTCCTGGAGTGCCTTATGGCTTAGTAGGTTAAGCCTCCGACTCTTGGTTTTCACTCAGGTCGTGATCTCAAGGTCATCAGATCTAGCCCTGCATGGTTTCCGTGCTGGGCGTAGAGCCTGCTAAAGATTTTCTCCCTCTCCCTCTCCCCCTCCTCCGCTCTCTCTTGTGCGCACTCTGTCTCTCAAATAAATAAATAAAATTGTAAAAAAAAATGTTTTCCTGTTGTATATTTGGGAAATTCACAATCTTTGGATTTTCTTTTCCTTATGCAAGTGGAGGCATTATTTTTAAAACAAGATTTTAAAATGAACTCCTCAGGCAAGTCTTTGGCTTGGGGGAAGTAGGGATGTGCAGTACGTAAGTCTTGGGCCCTCCATCCTGGCTGGCTTCAGCCAGAGCGCCTCTTTTTACCATTTTATAAATTGGAATTCCTAACAATAATTGACTTTAGATTCTGCTTTTACAATGTTTTGAAAGTCACTCATTTTGACCTTTTATTTTGCAGTTCTGTTTTTCTGCAATGGGTGTGGTTATTTTTTGCATGGTAATACCTTTTATCTGAAGAACACCAAACTCTCTGCTAGGAACCTGATAGTTTAACCCAGTTCCTATCATTTCTTACATTTTCTCCTAGCAATCTCTTATTTTCTCTTGGTAGGTCCCTCTGAATCTTATTAGCAGATGAAGGACTTGACACAAATGAGCTTTCCTCTTCTGCTGCCACTACCCTATATTACTTGTACTTTCTCTTCATTGGTATTATGTCAGCTTCCCCAGTCTTTTTTTTTTTTTTAAGATTTTATTTATTTGAGAGAGAGAGCACAAGCAGGGGGAGCAGCAGAGGCAGAGGGAAAAGCAGACTCCCCACTGAGCATGGAGCCTGATGTGGGGCTCAATCCCAGGACCTTGAGATCATGACCTGAGCCGAAGGCAGACGCTCAACGGCCTGAGCCACTCAGGTGCCCCAGCTTTCCCAGTCCTAATGTTTTATAGCTGCTTGCAGAAAACAACCAACCACTCCTGCCGTTAGGGGATTTATGTCTCCAGCTGTGAATGAGGTGACACGGTATTGGTACCATTGACTAGCACAGAGACAGTAACTAGTGGAGCTCTGACTCCATGTGTATTTTCCTCCATCTTGAGACATTTGTTCTCTCTAAACTTTCTGTTCCCTCTGTTTCTCGGAGTGTGTCTTGGGCCTGCCAGGGACTTCATAGATTCAACATAACTTGGTGAGAAAGAAAGTAGGAACTCTGGAAAAACAAACCCCAACTTGTTCTCTATGGGAGTGGTTCTCATCCTTTCGTGTGCTGATTCCTGCTTAGCCTTCGGGCTGGTTGGGGATGAGGCAGTAGGTAGAGTTCCTCTTCTCCAGCAGCAGTGCAGTATTACCTCATTGGGACATTTTGAATTATTACTATGAGATTATGGGAGAGTTACCCACTTTGTGCCTCTGCCTTAAAGATCCTGCTTGCTAAAAGTCTTCAAGAATGAAGTGATCAGATCGATTCATTTGCAGGAGATTTTTTTTTTTTTTAAACAAATTGACATATGGTTGTGTTTATTTTTACTTCACTGCCTAGTTTAAGCATTATTTTCTTAAGTAATACATTCGCTGTTGAGAGGATTCAGTATACAAGATTCATCCCACCTCTAACCCCAGTCACTTGGTTGCCTTCCCTTGAGGCAACTAATATTAGGAGTTTCTTGTGACCCTTCTGAATTATTCTATGCATCATGTATGATTTTAATGTTTGACTCTGACAAGATGCTTTAAAGGTATTACATTCATTACTCTTCAGGTGAATTTTAGAATTAAATGTCAAGGGCTTTCTGGGACAGTGTACCCAATACCATACAAATGTACAGATTAATACATCATGTGTTTTTGCTTCTAGTTAATTCTGATAATTTGTACTTGAGGCTAGTGTGCCAGATGGTGGAAATTTAACCTCACCTGTTTGGCTTTTATTATCCTTTCTTTAAAACTAAATATGTGAAAATAGAATAGTTAGATGATACTTAGGAACTATCAGTAATTTTATGTACTTTCAAAAAAATTTTTAAAGATTTATTTGAGAGAGAGAGAGCATGGAAAGAGAGAGGAAGCGAATCTCCATCAGACTTCTTGCTGAGCATGGATACCGACTCAAGGCTCAAGCCCACAACCCTGAGATCATGACGTGAGCTGAAATCAAGAGTTGGTTTCAGTGACACTGTTCTCATGGTCCCCCCCTCCACCCCACATTGGCCATTTCTCATTTTTATTTGTAGACTTATTTTCCTTATTTCTCAGGGTTCTATTGGCTCACTTTGTCTTGTCCCTAAGTGATCTCTACCTATTCAGTGATTATTCACAAATGTTTAAATGTTTATCTCTAGTTTGTACCTTTCGTTGTTTTTATTCTCTAGACCCAAATGCCTTCTGGACATCTCCACTTTTGCCATTCAGCTTTGTTGGGTAAAATCTAAAACTTTTTTCAATTATAATTTCTGACATGATGTGCTTAAAAAAGACTTCCTGTACTTCAAAATTACAAAACATTATATTTTATTGTAATACTGTTGTGGTTGCCTTTTTTACATTTAATACTTTATTCTACCTGGGATTCATTTTATGTTTGGAGAGATAAGTAGGGAAAATGTAATGATTCCATATTTTTTCTCTTGTATTTTTTTTAAAGACTGATTTATTCATTTGAGAGAGAGAGCGAGCATGGGGAGAGGGGCTGAGGAGAGGGAGAGAAAGAGAATCTCCAGCAGACTCCTGGCTGAGCACAGAGCCCAACATGGGGCTTGATCCCACAACCCTACAACCCTGAGATCATGACCTGAGCCGAAACCATGAGTTGGACGCTTAACTGACTGAGCTACCCAGGCGCCTGTCTCTTGCATTTTTGAGTTGATACTCACTCAGTTCTTTTCTTTTTCACTATTTGTCCATTTTATGTGTTACTGAGAGTCCTATTGACTAAGTACTGTGAGGGCTGGATGAGGTATATCTTGTTCATTGTTGAATTCCTTGGCATTTAGGACAATGTCTAGGTGATAGAAAGATTTTAGTAAATATTATTGAATGAATGAAATATGGAGGGGGAAAATTCTTTCATTAGTGGTTTTAACTTCATAACACTTTACTGTTTTTTCTCTGTATCTTTAATATCAGGAAATCTGCATCTTAGAAGCTTTTAGCCTATCAAATATTTTAATCTCATCAAATTTTGAAAAACATTTTTTTTTTTTCAGGGTAAACCAAATAACTTTTTTTTTTTTTAAAGATTTTATTTATTTATTCATGAGAGACAGAGAGAGAGAGAGGCAGAGGGAGAAGTAGGCTCCCAAGGAGCAGAGAGCCCGATGCGGGACTCGATCCCAGGACCCTGGGATCATGACCTGAGCCGAAGGCAGATGCTTAACTATCTGAGGCACCCAGGCGCCCCCAAATAATATTCATATCAGCTATGCTTCGATTCTTTCCTAGATCCCAAGCTTACTAGAGAAGCAGTTTATATTCACTTTTCTTCTAAGTTAACAAAACTTTCATGAAAACATGCTGTTCCACATGTGGCTTTGTGGATATAATCACATGTCTATTACTGTTTCTGTGTCTGCTTAATCTTTACGGCTACGCTGTGCCTGTCCCAGAGGCTTTATTTGGCTGATTTGTTTTCTTTACTTGGCAGTGGGAGCCATGGATAATACATAATGAGGATCTGCTTTGTTTGGTGATGATTATTCCAGTGTTAAGGTCAAGGAACTGAGTTTTAAAATGGAAAGACAATTCATCCCACTGTTATTTAATGATACGTTCTGTGTGCAAAGAACAAAATGCTATAGAATATGTCTCTATCTGCAAAGAATACCTTTCCACGAAGAGGGACAGAAGACACAACCATCATAAAATTCATCTTAAGCACAATGTCAAATCAGTGGTAGAAACAATAGTGTGGGCATTCGGGAATGGGAAAAATCACTCTGACTTGGGATGGCTAAGGTAAACTTCCTGGAGAAGATCATGTAGGATGTCTGGTTAATGGCGCATCTGATATGGGTAAAAAAATGAACAAAATTTGCAATGGAATGCATTGTACAAATGTGACGGCCATTGGATACAGTGGAATAACAGTCAACCTTGTGTGGGAGAGGAGAGGCAGGAAATTGGATCAGATTGTGGAGGGTCTTTAGTTTTGTTTTTTGTTTTTGTTTTTTCCAAAAACATTCCTTGGAAGTATCCTATTTTATCAAGCATAAGGCATAAATATTAGGGCTGGAAAATCCTTCATGGCTTTGTTGACATGAAAAAAAAGAACCTGCTTTATTGATGAGCCTGTGTCTTTGTACATTATATCCATGAGTGCTATTAACTTCAGTGTTTTCTGTATGTTTCAGACATTAGTCTCTTACCATGGGGGATTGGAATTTATTGGGTGGCATCCTAGAGGAAGTTCACTCCCACTCAACTGTAGTGGGGAAAATCTGGCTGACCATACTCTTCATTTTCCGAATGCTGGTACTTGGTGTGGCTGCTGAAGATGTCTGGGATGATGAACAGTCAGCATTTGCCTGCAACACCCAGCAGCCAGTTGCAACAACATCTGTTACGACGATGCTTTCCCTATCTCTTTGATCAGGTTCTGGGTTTTACAGATCATCTTTGTGTCTTCTCCTTCTCTGGTGTATATGGGCCATGCACTTTATAGACTCAGGGCCTTCGAAAAGGAGAGGCAGAAGAAAAAGTCACACCTCCGAGTCCAGATGGGGAATCCCGAGCTTGAATTGGAGGAGCAACAAAGGATAGATAGAGAGCTGAAGAGGTTAGAGGAGCAGAAGAGAATTCATAAAGTCCCTCTAAAAGGATGTCTGTTGCGTACTTATGTCTTACACATCTTGACAAGATCTGTGATGGAAGTAGGGTTCATGATAGGCCAATATATTCTCTATGGGTTTCAAATGCACCCGCTTTTACAAATGCACTCAACCTCCTTGTCCTAATGCAGTGGATTGCTTTGTATCCAGGCCCACAGAGAAGACAATTTTCATGCTCTTTATGTACAGCATTGCAGCCATCTGTTTGTTCCTCAATGTACTGGAAATATTTCATCTGGGAATCAGGAAAATCATGAAGGCACTTTATGAGAAATCCAGCAATGAGGGCACTGAGGATGAAAGCAGCACCCCATTCCATTTGAAAAAATATTCATTGGCCCAGGAGTGTATGATTTGCTCTCCCTTGCCTAAAAGAATCCCTCTACTTCAAGCAAACAATCAACAGCAAGTCATTTGAGTCAATGTGCCGAAGTCTAAAACCATGTGGCAAAGCTCACAGCCCATGCAACTTGAAGTAGACTCGTGCTGTGTTAAAGAAGAGTGGGCTGAGAAGGATCAGCACAGTGGACAGCTCCATGCCCACAGCCCATGTCTCTGGGTAGCCGGTACTCAAAGTCAGCACCCCGGACAGCAACTGGACTGTTCCTCCGGCCTACACAATGCAAAGTCTCAGTCCTGCCTAGATACAGAGATAGCTCCTAGACACTGCCCATCCTATGCAATAGGAACCTGGGGGCAGTCCCAGGATCGATGGCTCTCAGGAGAGGCTCTCACAGATTTACACAGTAAATGTAGAGACAGCGATGGCAGTGTGAGAAAGAGTGGGGTCTGGACAGACAGATCTTACCTGGGCAGTCACAAGGCCAGCTTTCTGTCCAGATTACTGTCTGAAAAGGGACACTTGTACAGTGACTCAGGAAGCTCCAGTTCTCGGAACAGCTCTTGCTTGGACCTTCTGCACCGGGAAAATAGCCCCTCGCTTCTGCCTTCAGCCACTGGATACAGAACATCAATGGTAAGTAAAGATGGACAGCCTGACTGAACATAGGACTATTGCAAGACGTTTTCCACTCTAGCTACTTCTTAGCTTTCGCTGTCCAGCTACCTGGTGTGTATATGTGTGTGTTAAGAGAGAGGGAGAGAAGGTGAGGGAGGTTAATTTATGGAGAGTTAAATCCTGTCATTCAATACATTCAGTTAAATTCAATTCATGAAATAAACTTACTGAAAACTTACTTTATATTATTCAGTCTTAGTAAGTGCTGGGTTTATAAGTGGATAAAATACTGTCTCTGCTATCAATGGGCTCGGAGTCTAGATGGGAAAGTTAGTAAGCATACAAATGTGATCAAGTGTAAGGTGCCCTGTTAGAAGGGGCGGATGGGCAAAGGAGGGAGTGGTCAATTCTTTATGGATGGGTCAGGAAAAGCTTCGTAGTAGCAGTTACTTTTGAATTGAGCCTTAAAAGGTGTGGTGATTTTCTCCAGATCTGGGAGGACTGGGGTACATGAAAGAAGGCCATCCTAGTATAGGGAGCAGCACAGACAAAGGCTGAGAGCTGTGACACAGCAGGGCTGTCTGGGGAGCTATGTGTGGCTGGGGCACTGGCAGGTAGGAAGGCTATGGAGAGGGAAAGCTGGAGAAGGGGCCATGGAGGTCTTGTGGGAAGGCAATGGAGCACCCATAGAGGGTGTGCAGCGAAGTGATGGGATCAGAGTTACATTTTAGAAAGCTCTGTCACAGTGTGGAAAATGGATCAGAAGAGGGATCGTTTGTAACCTTGGGTTGCCCTTGTCTCATTAAGGAAGGAGGGTGTGCTCCATTGTTTTAATAGCTCTGGCATTTAAAAGTCATATACAAAGATTTGGTGATATATTTCACAAAGACTAAAATCAATATTGTATTGATTTTAATTCTGTTTTCTGAAAAGCCAGTGTGGAATAAACATTTCCTTCTCAATTCTGGAAAAAAAAATGACACTTGCTTTATCCACCACTCCTAACAGCTTTTTTCCATTAAAAAGAAACAACTCCAGGTTTGGTGGGGGAACTTCCTAGTTGAGCTCACTTGGTTGAGCTCACACACTTGCTTTCTCCTGTTAATGATAATGATTAAATCTATGATTATTGAATCCCTACCCCAGTTTCATATCTCCTGTGAGCTTAGAGATATTTTGTTACTGCACTAAACCATATCTTGAGGAGGAATCATCCTACCTAGATTTTTCCTATAATACTTCTTTCAAACTGATACTCGTTTCTTGTCAGTGACGTCATCTACCCAGGAGACTATGTTTAGGATCAGAGTGTGGCTACTTGGAACCCACACCAAACTACAGCAGGGTTCTCAACCCTGGCTACTAGTTAGAGTCATCTGGGGGCTTTAAAAAATCTTCATGCCCAGGACCCATCCAATTCCAATTAAACCAAATCTTTGAGGGTGGAATGCACATCAGGATATTTAAGTAAATTCTACCCATAAAGTGGGGCTTGGACTTATAATTCCAGGATCAGGAGTCATATGCTGTACTGATTGAGCCAGCTAGGTGCCCCTAGGATTAGTATTTTATTTTATTTTATTTTTAGATTTATTTGAGAGAGAGGGAGACCAGGGTTGGGAGGAGCAGAGGGAGCGGAAGAGAGAGAATCTCCAGCAGGCTCCCCACTGAGAGCAAGTAGCCTGATGTTGGGCTTGATCCCACAACCCTGAGATCATGAGATCCCGACCTGAGCTGAAACCGAGTTGGCTGCCCAACCGACTGAGCCACGCAGGCGTCCCTGGGATTAGTATTTTTTAAACTCCCATGGTGATTGCAATGTGCAGCCAGGGTTGAGAATCACTATTTTAGAGTAACCTTGCCAGGGGTTACTGCTTCTTATCTCCATTTGTGAAGTCAGCAAGACAGTTTTAGTCATTTTCCCTTTCTTATACCTCTTCCCATGTGAGAGGAGTCTTCGTATTGGCAGAGAGTTGAGGGGGAGACGGTAGTGTTTAGTTAAGGCAGATTTTTTTTTAATCTTTCAGATTATCTTTTGGGGGAGGCCAGCCATTCCTACAAGCCTGAAGAAAAGATGATGAAGATGACAGGCCCCTTTCTTTTTTCTTCTTCCTCTTTCTTCCCTGTTTTTTATGTTTCTAGGAATTACAAATAATGTCTTCGGCCACAGAGATTTCCTACTTACGGTCACTTTCCCACCAAACCCCTTACAGGGTTGACAGGCCACTTCACTCCCCAGATGGTAGGAAGACTTGATTGAGGCCACAGCTATCAACCCCAGAGCTCTGTGGCTGAGACATGATGCTTCTTGCCTACAGAGGAATCTGTAATTAGAAATCAGTGCAGCAAACAGGATTATAATCATCCACTGTCAATATATGGACTGTAAACTGCTTTTTACACTGTATTGGGTCCTGGGTGACAGAATTTTTCAGGCTCAGTAAGATGCATTCTGACTTCAGCAGTTGATGTTTCAGAGTGAAATAACTTCTGGTAGGACCACAGTTGCTTTGCCGCTCATGATGTGTCCCTTTGAGGGAACTGTCCTGCAAAAGAAATGCATTCTATTTTGGAAGGTCATAGAAGGCACCAGAAGGAGCCATGATTTTATGCTGAGACATTTCCCTTGCTGTCACCCAAACCCCACAATTTGTTCAAGTCCAAACTCACTGATCGCTAAATAGGCTTCTATCAAGGTTGGTTCTTTGAAGACTAAGCTGGGCATAGAAAGCAGACTTTCATTCTGGCCAAGTAAGCCTGGGGAGGAGGGCTGGCTGAGTTTAGCAACCCGCACTACCCTCTGTAAGGGAGAACTGTCCCCATTGCTGAATGCAGAGATGCTGTGGAGCAGTAATTCTTGTGCCCAGTTCCACATGAAATCACTAGGGAGGCTTTGAAAACTGCCCCAGGAAAAATCTCTGCAGATGGAGCCTTGACACGAGTACTTTTTAAAGCTCCCAGATGATTCCAGTGTACAGCCAGAGTTCAGAACCATGGCTGTAGAGAAGGGAGATTTTGACATTAGGAATAAGATTGCCCTGTGAATTCTTCCAATCTTTTGGGACATTAACGTGATGTAGCTTCAAAAGGTGAGGACACTTACACTTAGTCCCACTGCCTGGGATGTACCACCCACCCTAAGACCTTGGCATGACCGATGGGGCCCGCTGTGCCAAGGCCCTACAGAGTTCTCTTGGGCCACGATCAAGTCGGGGAGAGATAAGGACGAGGTTGAAATAGGCAGGAGCTGATATTAGGGCTTTATAGGCCATGGAAAGGAATTTGGGCTGGATGGCACAGGGATGGTGGTGAGCTGAGAATATGTTTCAAGAAAAACCCCACGTTCTGGAGAGTCTATTATAGGGCTACTCTGGTCTGAATGTTTGCATCCCCTCAAAATTCATATGTTGAGACTTAATCCCCAATGTGATGGTGCTTGGAGGTGGGGTCTTTGGGAGGTGATTAGGTCATGAAGGTGGAACCCTCATGAATAGGAATAGTGCCCTTATACAAGGGGCTACAGAAAGTTCCCTATCCTATCTACTATGTGAGGACACAGCAAAAAGACAGCTATCTATGAACAGGAAATGGGTTTTCACCAGACAGGGAATCTGTCAGCACCTTTATCTTGGGCTTCTCAGACTCTAGAGCTGTGGGAAATAAGTTTCTATTCTTTATAATCCACCCAGTCTACCTGAATGGACTAAGACAAGGGGTAAGAGTACAGTCAGGGAGGCCAGCTAGGAGGCTTACACAGTGGCCCAGGGGAGAGAGGCATGTGGCTCAGACCAGGGGACCATTGTTAATGGTTTGCATGGAAGAACAGTCTTTTTCTTGTTTTTCAAATTAAAGTAATACATGCTCATTGAAAGAAATTCAAGCAATATAAAAGAACATAGAGAATAAAATGTGAACCTGACCATGTGAGGATTCATCTCTTTTTGTTCTCATCTGGATTCACTTCCCACTTCACTCCCCGAAGACAACCGCTAACAGCTTAGGGTGTGTTCCCCCTACCTTCCTCAGGGCATTTGTCATCTGTCTTTGAGGACAAATGTATGTCCACCCATATATGGTGGTTTTTAAAAATACAAATGTGATCATGTAGAGATGTAGAGATGTCTTTGCAATTTGCTTTTGCTCATTTCATATGTCACAGGGGTCTTCCCATGTCAGTACCTGTGGAACGGCCTCAGTTTTACATTAATTCATGCTTTTGTATGGTATGGATGAGCCATAAGATACTTGATGGCCAGTTAGCCATTCTAACCTTTTTCTACTGCACGCAATGTTGCAGTGGATGTTTCATACATATATCTTTAACAGGTATCTAGAAGTGGAATTATTGGTTCTAATGGACATGCACATATTACATTTTGACAGATGCTGAAAATTTTTGTTCAGGAAGGACTACACCAATTTGTTCTCTTTTTAAAAAGATTTTATTTATTTGAAAGAGAGGCAGAGAGAAAGCGCACGAGTGAGGGGGAGGGGCAGAGGGAGAAGCGGGCTCCCCACTGAGTAGGGAGCCTGACTCCACTCAGGGCTCGATCCCAGGACCCTGGGATCATGACCTTAGCCGAAGGCAGATGCTTAACCGACTGAGCCACTTAGGCGCCCTTACACCAATTTATTCTCTTATCAGCACATTAGCACCTCTTTCCCCACACTCTTATTCATACCAGCCATTATCTTTTTTCCTTCCAATCTGATGAAAAGTGTTTTCCTTTGTTTTTTTCTTCCATATTTTATTTTAGAGAGAGCACAAGTGGGAGGGGCAGAGGGAGAGGGAGAGAGACTCTTAAGCAGACTGCGCTCAGCACGGAGCCCGAGGTGGGCCTCGATCTCACGACCCCGAGATCATGATCTGAGCCGAAACCAAGAGTTGGATGCCTGACTATACCACCCAGGCGCCCCGTGTTTCCCTTTGTTTTAATTTACATCTGTGATTACTAGTGAGGTTGTTCATATGTTTACTGGTCATCTGTATTTCCACCATGAATGATCCTTGTCTGTCTTTTCTGTTGGGATATTTGTCTTTCTTCTGATTTCTAGGAGCTCTTATATGGTATTATATTAACTCCTTGTTTGTATGTGTGTGTGTGTGTGTGTGTGTGTATATACATATATATATATATATACACACACACACGCATGGAAAGATTTTTCTCCCAGTCTGCTTGTCTCTTATCCCTGTTTACAGCATCTTTGAATTTTTACTATTATATTAAATCTAAAATCTATTACTTCTAGGTTCTTTGTCTCATTTGAGGTCTTTTTTTTGACTTCACATTAAGAAGTGTTATTAGATGGGTATTTTGAGGATGGATTGTACTAATTTATTGAGCCCTTTGGTTGAGCAGTTTTACATAACATAACAATTACCAAAGAATCTGAAGAAGAGGAGGAAAGATACTCACTTCATTAAGGGCCTGATGGAGGTCTAGACACTTCATGGGCTTCCTCCCTGTAGCCCTGTAATTATCTGTTTTATGGATAAAGAAATAGGTGACTTGTCCGAAGTCATACAGTTAGGATGTGGTGAAGCACAGTTCTTGGGACATAGCAGGGGCATAAATTAATATTTATTGGATGAGTGAATGAGCTGGAATTTTATTCCAAGCCTGTCCGACTCGACCCAAGCTCCTTCTATACCTCATTACTGCTTCTTGCTCTCTCTGCATAAGGCAGCCTAAGTTTAGCAGATTTTTAGGGTCAAGGATAGATTATTACAAAATGGAATATTCCACATTTGGATCCCTTTTCCCTTCCACATTATACAAAGCCAAAAATCTGGCTAATTGTAGAAAGAGCAAAAATGGAGCTTCGGAAGAAGTTGGCTTAGTTTTAGACCTGGATTTTGGACAAAAACAATACGTGGAGAAGGATAAGAAGATGACAGGTGGGATTCAGATCTTTCAGGGAACAGAATCTCTTCTGTGGTCATCCTTCTCTGGGTCAACCTCGGGAGAATTGTCTTCAGCAGGTTTTGATTGGAGCCCTGGTATTTGTGACATACACAGAGTCCCAGGTGGGTGGGCAGGGCTGACTCTTACAAGTCCTTTGAGTCTATTTTGTTTGTCTTGTTTCCTATTTCTTTCAGAACATGCTTCTAGAACTTTCGTCTCTTATGAAAAAATAATTCATGTGTGGGGCCAGAAAAATGAACCCAGGAGTAACTGGCATCTGCGGGAGAAAAGTTGCACTTTTGTTAGCTCAAACTTTGAGAAGAACTGCGGGAACCGTTCCCTCCACAGAGACACCCACCGGGCGATGGGTGTGTACAGGGTGCTCCCAGCTGGGCCCCCCTCTACAGGAGACCCTCCCCTGATGGGGCTGGGATCAGCCTCTCACTGCCCCACCTGGTCTCACCGCCGGTCTGATCTCAAGCAGGTGGAGGAAGGGAGGAAGTGCACCCCGGGAGAGAAAATCTCGGGTAAGAGCTGCTGCCTGTCTGAGGGGAGAAGGATTGGGACATGGCTCTCCTTCCCCCATCTGGCAGCCCGGTGGGATTTGATGCCCTGTGGGGCACCCTGTTCTGCAGTGGCACAGCAGCAGTTAGGACCATTGATCAGATAGATGGAGTCTCTGACCGATCGATCTCCTGTTGGTTCCTTCTCCCTGGAGGACCCTGACACACTGGGGACTGCCTGGGATGCTGCGGAAGGGAGCCCAGCATTGGATGGGGCTGGTCTGGGCTTCTAGCCCAAATGGCTCCTGAGTCTTCTCTGTCCCCGTACTTTGCAGAGGTGGAAATGAGGCTTGGAGATATGAAGAGGCATGATCCGTTCCACAGTAAGTTGGTAGAAGAGCCAGTGATGACCAGGTGGATGAAAATGATGCTGGGGCCAAGTCCAAGTGGCTATCACTAAGGGGCAGAGCATATTCCAGGTGCTTAAGACACGTTATCTCCACCTTGTACGACTGTGTAAAGCTACTGTCCACCCCCATTTCATAGATCAGAGAAGGCTCAAAGAGACGAAGTAGCTTGCCCCACAGCTCAAGGTCGCGCAGCTCAAGTGTCTGCCGTGCAGCTGAATTCAGACCCAGATCCTGCTGCTCCAAGGCGCAGACTCCTTCCAGGAAACCGTGAAGCCATGCTCTCTCCTCTCCATGACAATCAGCAGCCCCTGGGCAGTGATTTATTCGCACATCTTCCTGTCCGACTAGCCTGTGGAAGCTGTGAGGATAAGGGCTGTACATTTCAATCTTGGATGCCCAGCATGCAGCACAGTGTTGGTTGGTTGAATGAACGTATGTTTCTGTACAGATGCCAAAGACAATATATGACCTTTTGCTTCCAGCTCTCCAGTCTGTTCCTTATTCACTGGTGTTCTGTCATGTCCTGTCAGTAGGTTTATTATGAGAGACTCTTCCAGAAGCCTGTATGGCAGCGTTTTTTTCTCCTTGAATTTAAACTTCCTTTGTCCTCAGAAGCCTTTACAGGGTCAACTATACAGCGCAAAGAGAGGTTAAAGGATGGGTGTAAAATGTGATGCTCCCAGTCAATGCTGGTGTGTCTCTGACGGATTCCACCTCCCGTTTTAGGATGAGGATCACTGCTTCAGGGATGCACTTGTCTTCAAGGGGCAAGAGGAAGAGCTAGCCATGAAGAACCAGTAATGCCTCTTTCTGGCTGACTGAGCAGGCCTGTGGCAGTGTATGGTGGCATCTGTGGGAGCCGGAGGGATGAGGATCGAAGGTATCATGTTCTTAAATCAAATGAAAGGAAAGACACTTGCGTAATGGGATGTGGGACGAGTGGCTTTTTCCATCTCTCTGGAAAGCGAAGGTGCTCAATGGGGAGAATTGGAAACCCATTCCACTCTGGGCCCTATCACAAAACGGATGTTAAACATCAAATACAATCTTGCTAGTGCATCCTAATTGAGGGGCAGGGGTGATGGGCTGGAGAAGAGTGAAAAATTCTAGAGCTGTTTGAAAGAACAGCCTAATTATTCCCAAATAGATACAACAAAACTGTTGGCAGGGACTGTCTGGGAATCCTCATTGTACCCTGGAAGTAGGTATGGATCCCTCCGAAGGTGCGCATTCAAAGGAAAGAAGATGGCTGCTGCCCATCTGGGGCAGGACAGTGTTTGAATGCCCCTCTTCTGCAGAAAACAGTGGCTTTATTCTATTGCAAACTATGATTGTCATTCCCACGACAAGTGCAAATGTCAAGGTCGAAGGAGCGAATGACCATCAGTTCTAAATGACCAGGTTTTTTTTTTTTTCCCTTTCCTTCCTTCCCTTCCCTTCTCTTTTTCTTTTCTCTTTTCTTTCTTTCCTTCCTTCTTCCTTTTTCTTTCTTTTCTTTCTCTTTCTTTTTTGAAGGTTTATTTATTTATTTGATAGAGAGAGAGTAAGCACACATGCACAATGAGGGGAGGGGAGCAGAGGGAGAGAGAAACCCAAGCAGACTTGGAGCTGAGTGCAGAGCCCGGCAACTGGGCTTGATCCCACAACCCAGCTGAAATCAAGAGTTGGACGTCTAACCGACTGTGCCATCCAGGAGCCCCTAAATGGCCAGGTTTTCTTAAGAGAAAATTTTGGGACTAAGACCCACCTGCTTTTTTCAGAATGGATTGGATAACTTTGTCTTCAGGCAAAGGACTGTATTTGACCTCTCACATCTACAATGTTACAACTGTGTTGTTTTGCTAACAGTTGCTAACCCCATTATATGCTCCCTGGAAGCCCTCCTTGGCTCAGTAAGGTGCCCAGGGAGTGGAATTCAGTAACTTTTAATTTCAGTTTTCTCATCTGGGGGACGGGGTGAGGCCAGGTACTTCCTGAAGCTCAGATCTCAGCAGCTCTTCAGACATCATGAGAATGTATTATTTACGGCCTCACTGACAGCTTAGCCAGACCACCCGAGTCCAGCATTACTCTTGGTCATCTAGCCTGCCTGCCATTCAATACCTTGCTTTCCCTTTACATCAAAATCCAGGACTCAGATGATCGAATATGCTTTTCTAGTTTTATGTATTTACTCCCTTAACCACAGTTCTAAACTCTTTGCCCTGCTCATCACTGTTATCTTGGTGTTGGCTTAATACCCCTTTCTCTCTGGTTACTTTCATTTAGCTTTGTTTTACTCATTCATTCATTCATTCATTCATTCAACTCTACCCCCAATATGGGTCTCAAACTCACAACCCCGAGATCAAGAGTCACATGCTCCACTGACTGAGCCAGCCAGGCGCCCCTAGCTTTCTGTTTTAAATTAGACCTATTATTTTGAGATAATTGTAGATTCACACGCTCTTGTATGAAACAATACCCTTCAGCAGGCTACCCTCAACGGTGACATTTTGCAGAGCTATTGCACAACATCGAAGCCAGGAAATTGTGTTTATGCCTTTTATCTGCTCTCACAGGCATCGGGGATTTTTTAAATTTCAGCGTTGAGGAGTCACATTAGCATTATCACATTTTTTTAGGTCTTTAATCAGATTAATCAGGTAGCAGGTAAGGGTCCAAATTAGAGGAAGACACATAATTATCTGGGAGAAGAGATTTCTTAAGGCCTCCAGCCCTGTGATCTTTAACACAGGGGATCAGAGGCAGGGAAAACCAGCTTACAATGCATAATGATATGTCTTTATTTCATCAACAGAAATGGTGTCTAGACAAAATTCAGTTAACACTAGCAATTCAATTGAGTGAAAAATTTTTTTTTTGCACAATAGTGTATTTACAATGAGTAAATGAAGTTTCAATTCATTAGTTCATAGCAATGCTTTGTTTTCCCCAAAATGGTAAAAATTCTTAGTTACAGAGAATAAGCATCAACAGCCATTTCATTTTTACAATAAAAAGCACAATGAAAACCACAATCACTTAGAAAAAAAAAAAAAAGACAAGCCTAAGAACTAGTACAATAAAATGATGCATTGAATTAAGTTACATTAATCGCATAGAATCTGTGTAAAAAGTATGTAGAAAAACACCTGATGTAACCTGTTACAGTCGTTGAGCAGTTATGAGAGGTACAGAGGGTTATACAGGTAGATATGTGTGAAACTGTCCGTATTGTTCGACCTGGGGAGGAAGAGAAGAGGGGCTGCGGCCCCTTGCATACACTGAGAAGACCCTGTTTTGAATATGGCCTCTGGAGTTTGTAAGGCATATATTAGAGGTGCACTTGCATCAGACTGGTTCTGGAACAAATTCTCCCAGGCCCTTCTGGCCTCACGGGCAAAGGTGGTGCTTGCCTCGAACGGCTCACTGTGTCTAAGCAGCACCCGGAGCTCCCAAGTGCATTTGGAATCTTCCTGTTCACTCACTAGAAGTGGTAGTTCTTTTAGGTCCGAGCGTGAATAGGCATCCCAGCACTCACACACGCCAAATGCATCGTTAGGACCCAGGGGAGGTTACCCCTCTGCCTGCTGACGTATTTTGGTAGGAGACTTAGCATCATCGGTAGGAAAAACCCTCTTTGTCCAAGTCCCTTCCCTCTTTGCTCACATACATGTCCGATCAGCCCCCCAGGAACTCTTGGCACTGAATGAATGGTCTTGGTGCCCTTCTGCTTCTAAGGAGGGCCACTGTTTTAGCTGAGGTCAATAAACTGGAATGAAGTGAAAGTCAGAGTTGTTTATCCGTCGCTTGACAGTGAGATGCATGCACCACGTCACAACATGAAATCAAAGCTACAAATTGGGCCTCTGCAACCAAAGGGTATTCTTCACAGAATGGCAGCTTCATTCTCATATTACAATTAAAATGCACTGATACTCATTTGATATAAATATTATCTCCCAGGGTGGAGTGTAGGAAAATACTATACACTTACTTTTCTTTGCAAGAAATGTTTTTGCACCGTCAGTTGAATAATTTATCCTCAAAATCTGCCACAATAGGTCCTTTCTATGTACAAATACTATCTGCACACACTATCTGTGTACAAATACCGTCTATTCTGCAGCATCAGTCTTTGATGCCTGGGTCAGGGGATGGCTCGGGCGGTACCGAGAACACACAGACTGCCTCCATGCACACGGACTTCCTGCACGAATACCGACTCCACACAGGGCACCGCACCTGGGACTGACTCGCCGGTAACTGCGCCTGCAACAAGATCCTCAGTCTGGGGAAAATTTATTAACTGATGATCGAGTGAACAGCTTTATTCTTAAAAAAAGAAAAGATTCTGCCCCTCAGTCTATTTACAGTGATTTGAAGACAAAACTTGATTCTTGCTCCCTACTGGTCTGCGACTCCTCCCAAACTATAAGCGATAGGGGAGCAGGTTGAAGTCATTTATTAATTAAGCAGCTGCTAGTTTCAGTGGGGTAGAATGAGGAGACCCAGCCAGGTGGATCTTTTGTAGCTGAGTACCTTTGCAGGCTTGACCCACTTTGGGAGGGTTGTGCTACTCCACAGGATGTGGAGTAGCCCATAGGGACAGGACTCTGGGATTTCTTAAAAGGCTTAGAGTTTATACACCTTTGCTTCTTCTTCTTTAAAGGCAATCATAAGGTATTAAAAGAGAAAGTGTAGGTAGGTTTAGCTCCTTTTTTAATGAAGATTTTAAGTCCTCTCTATGTGGGGCTCTAACTTACAACCCTGAGATCAAGAGTCGCGTGCTTTATCGGCTGAGCCAGCCAGGCGCCCTTAGATCTCTTGGTAACAGCTTTCAACTTCACATTGTGGCCACTTAATTTCTGGCAGTTCGCTGGTGCAAGTCCTAGAGCTGGTCCCTGGCCTCCTTTTTAAGGAGAAGTGGCAGTTGGCATTCTAATCACTAGCCTTTTTTTTTTTTTTTTTTACTTCCTTGGGAAAGCAATACAAGGATTAAATCCAAAGTCATAGTGCATCTTAAAAGCAGCATACTTTTAGAAAGACAGTTAATAAATTACTTGTACAATATACAAAATAATGTTTTATACTGCAGCATCACCTCTGACGCCTGAGTCATTGTGAGGGCACCCGGAATGGAAATAGCAGGATGGCCTAGTCACTTTGCCAGCTCTTTTGTTTTGTTTTTGCAATCGTTTTGTTCCAGAATCAGTACGTAATGAAGTTTGATTTTATTCAAGGCACCCCCAGATAACGCAGAGAAACAAACACATAACAGCAAAGCACTCACCTGCCCAAAGCCCGACCAACCTGAATGAAGCGAGGTTGTCTGGACACACAAGTAGGACACAGGCAGATCCAAGGGGAGGACTAGATGCAGGCAGATGGCCACGGTCCCCGCCCCTACAGCTCATGCCCACCTATTTGGAGACCCGACTCGGCCTCGGCAGGGATCTTCCTAAGCAGTCCATGGGGGGAGGATCCTTTATTTTTATAAGGAAGGACCCTTCAAGCACAACTACATGTCACCATGCTGTGCAAACACTATTCCCTGTTATTGACTTGCTTTTGTTTTTCCTAAAAGACATGGCCTCACCGAGGGATCCCCGGTTAAGGAGACAGGCTGGTTTTTAAAACTCCACTTGAGGCAGTTTGGATTCTGGTCCCCAGCTAGTCCTCCCTTTGAATCAACCTGGAAACGATTCTGACGAACATGTGGTTCAGGGTAGTAGAAGACAAGACAGGTCACACAGACAATTGCACAAAGCCAATCACTGTTTATGGTACATAGTGAACAAAATCATTAAGTCGTTAGAAAATCTCTAAGAAATGGAAAGAGTTTTTCAAGCAGTGTTTTTAACCAGTTCCCATAGCGGGGTTTGGTTGAGGAAGAGGGAGAAAAGCGAGGTGGGGGTTGGGGGCAGCAGAACGTGAGCTGACGGTGGAGGGAAATCAGGAGGCCCCCTCCCCCACCCCGACATGGCCGCAGCACAGGGGCGAGCGGACGGAACGACAGACAGGGGGAGACTGTGGAATGTGGTCAAGACTACCAGTTGCACATGAGCTGTCACCAGGGTGAATCACGCCAACAGGCTGGTTTGGACCTGGTTATGAGACTAGCAGGAAACATTCTTTTTTTTTCCAAAAGAAGAGGAGGTCACTTAAAAAAGGCAACAAGAGAGTTAAAAAAAAAACACAAAATACTGTTGGCTGACTCCTCCACCGCAACACATACCTGTGGTGCATCACACGATTCACATTGAATTTAAATTCCGGCTGTCACCAGGTTTCCACAAAGGCAAACCCCACGGTGAAGCACAGAACCGCTCCACTAGGCCAAGACCTTCCAACAACCGTAATAAAAACGGCAGCTCCAGCGTGGAGCTGCATCAAAATCCGTCTCAGACCAGCACACGCACATGCGCACGCACATGAGGAGAAACAGAAACCCAGAGGCAGGTTTTAAAAGCGCAACTACTTGAAAAGAAAAGCCTTTTTTTTTTTAATCCTACCGCATGAACCAACAAATTTCTGGCATTCATACATATTTAAACATTTAGCGCTAATATTTGTACAGAAAAAAGTTAATACTAAAACATATGTTACTATGATTTCACTTTTCGCCTACATCATATACTAATTTCCCCTTTTACATGCAGCTTTAATATTGTCCAAACAATGGCACAAATAAAGAAACAAAGTCAACCGTCTAGTCCCCACTGCCCACCACCCCATCCCCACATCAAACCTTTCGGGAAGAGTCCCGCAGCCAGGCTGGAGGGCCCACCGGAGGGAGGGAGGGAGGGACTCCGCCTCCTCTTAGGCTGGGGGCAGGGTCTGGGCACATCTTCCTGTAAACGTGGCCAGGGGCCAGCACACCCCCAAAGCCAAGGGAAGCTGCTCTCTGTGGGTTGCAAGCCAACCAGTTTTGCAGCAAGAGAAGAAAATTACCATCAGGTGAGGGTAGGTGTGTGTGTGTGTGTGTGTGTGTGTGTGTGGCCGGGTAAAGGGGCAGGGAGGGCTCCTTGGCCATATCGTGTCCAAAGCCTCAGAATGAAATCTGCCTTTGGACAAGAGACGAGCAGAAAACCCCCAGAATTCAACTCAAAGCATTTGGAGAAGGGAGGGAGAAAGAAATTCTTTTGCCTGCGTCAGGGACAGACCCCAGGCTCACATGCGCCCACTCTCCCCTACTCTGGGCAAGCTGCATTAACCCAGGACGCCGCTTACAGGCAGGACCCCAGGTGCTATGAGTTAAACTGACTCAGGTGAGAGGTCCTGGGAGCCCAGCCTGTGCAGGGGGCCTGGACAGGGGAGCAGGGGGCCGGGATGGTCGGGTGGCTGATCAGCCAAATCCTTCCGAGAAGTTCCTCCTGCGCTGCCCTTCCAAGAACAGGCAGAGGCCTGAGGACGGGTTGAAATGAACGGGACTCGCCCCTTGGGTGAGAAAATAGTTCTAACTTGATTTTTAGGAGCCAATGCCTGCTGAGTTCTGGTACAAAATCACGGGTTCCTGCTGTTTGGATGCACTTCTGAGTGGACGTCCAAACTCTCTCCCCACTTAGGAGTCTGAACATCCAGTATCAACTCTGAACTCTCTGCATTTAAACTTTGCTTCCGGGAGAGGTGGGGAGGAGATGAAATATAAAAATATTCAAGCAGATTATTGTCTACACATCCTAGGATGAATTCATTATTTGGCAAGATTATTTTTCCTACATAATTATCACCTGAGTGCTTTTTAATTAGCTAAAATGTCTTACTTTTCAACTAAAAGCAAAGAATATACAGTATACTTGAGTTATACTGAAGTAATAACAACTTCATTTAAGAAAATAGGTTTGACCCAAAACTCAGTGCAAGTGGCAAAGTTGACCATGACTGTACAGTATCTGCAAGAAAAAAAAAAAAACCAACAACAAACCCACGACACTCCGAGGACACCGGCCGATGGTGCCCAAAGCAAACCAAACGACAACAGAAAAAGGGTCTGAAATAAAACCTCAAAAAAAAAAAAAAGCTTCCAACATTGAATTCTGTTCCATAAATAAGTACAAACTGAAGTTGAACTGTGAAGCAAGAAAAATGACTATGTTAACAGTTACCAAACTAGTTCTGGCACCGGAGACAAAAGAAGAGGAATGTTGGAACCTGTTGATAAACGAGAAATGAAGTTTCCAGTTTCAGGATGAGAAAATTGAGGCATGCAGGACTTTTGCATATGGATATATATATATATTTTATATATATATTATATATAATATGTACAGTCTAGCTATAAAACTTTGATGTGTATAGAAGCTGTCTTCAATGAAAAAATTGAACATTCAGAAGAAATTCCTGAGATAGGGTTTGTGACATGGGCCACTGAGAAACAAAATCCGTGGTTGGGTCCTAGAGGTGTTACAGTCTATCCCTGTTGAGACTGAAATTAACCCACAGACAGGCAGCGTCACCGCCGCCGTCCTTCCTTGCCCGGGCAAGGGGTAGCACCATTGTGAAGGGAACTGTGTATCACTCCCGCGTGGAGAGAGGAGGGAATACTGAGAAACAGTATTGCTGCTGAGAACGCTGTAGTGTGCACCAAATTCCTTCTCGGTTCTTCCAGACAACAGACGAGCAGCACCGCAGGCTGACCGAGGAGCCCCCGGGGGCTGGGGCAGACGCGGGAGAACTGGACGGCGGGCCGGGTCACTAGGTGTACTCTTTCCGGGGCTGCTCGTCAGTCGTACACTTATCAGTCATCTCCTGGCAGAAGTCCACGGTCACCGTCTGGCTCCTGGATTCAAGAGGAGGCGCCCTCTCCGAGAAGGTTCCCGGCTCAGCGCCCTCGGGCCTCCGCCCGGAAGTACAGTTCTCCGGGGCGCAGCCGGGGGCCCAGGGGCGGCCGGGGGGAGCCGCTCCGGGCTCCAAGCAGCAGGGCGCGCTTTCGCCCACCGCTCGCTGCGCGGCGGCCGGGTTCTGCTCGACGCCCAAGGGCGCGGGGTTAATACTGGAGGCTGCGGGGAGGCCCACGGGTCTGAGGACGGGGCAGTACCGATGCAGGGCCTGGATCTGCTCCGGGCTCTGGATGTCGCGGCAGACTTCCTGCGAAAGGCAGGAGAAATTGTCCAGCAGCTCCCCCATGCAGGCTTTCAGTTGGTTCCTCTCTGACAACAGCTTCTCTTTCTCACACACCTGGGCGACAGAGAGAGAAAAGAGAGAAGGCCCCGTCAAGCCTGAACGGGAAGACACAAGGCCTGGTTTCCGGGGGTCTTCGGGCTTTCGTCTCTGCGTCTGGTAGGACAGGGTCACTTGTGAACGACGGGGCCGGGATCTAGGCACCTACAAGACGTGTATTCAAGGAGCCTGGACTGAGATTCCGATCGGAGCAGCCTATCCAGGTGCGCCAGTGAGCCTGCCGTCTCCTCTGGAGAGTGACCAGCAACAGTCCCACCGACCAGAGAACTGCAGGGAGTCAAGGCTCTGGTTTCCTGGAATTTGGGGTTTGTGCAGCAACAGCTGGAAAACTCTCAGTCCCAAACCCTGTCGTTGAAAAATCACCTCCCCCCCACCCCGTGCGTTAGGCTGCCATTTTTGAAAGTCAGAAATTGGCCAATTGCAACTTTATGACATTTTGGAAAAAGGGAATCTCATGGGCAGGGTGGGGGGAAGACCCGTGGTTGCCAGGGATGGGGGGAGGGAGAGGGATGGACGGGTGGAGCACAGAGCATTTTTGGGGCAGTGAAATTACTCAGTGTACAGTTGCGATGGATACATTGTCCGAACCCACAGACTATACCACGCCAAGAGTGAGGCCTGATACAAATTATGGACTCTGGGTGATTATGCTGTGTGGATTCGGGTTCCTCAGTGGTAACAAATGCACTACTCAGGTGGGAGGTGTTGATAATGGGGGAGGTGGTGAGCGCGTAGGGGCTGGGCGCAGGGGCATTCAATTTTGCTGTGAACCAAAAACTTCTCCAAAAAGAAAAGTCTACTGAAAAAATCAACAAAAATCACAACCACAAAAAGCGACCACGGGCAATTTCACATGCTTTGATCAAACCTCAGCAGGCTGTCTGGCCTTTGCGGCGGACAGACGGGACAGAGCAGGTCCTCTCGGGGACAGGTGGGGACCGTGCAGTGCGTCAGGAGCACTGACTCTCCCTGGACACGGGAAGGGCCGACAGAGGCGTGGAGACCGAGTCCTAGCAGCCTAGCCTGAGGTTCCGAGATGTCGTCCTCCAAGAAAATCTCACATAAGCTCTTGTGTTCCTAAAATTCGCCATCCCGTCAGAGAGACGGATTTCGCTGCTAGAGGGGAGGCTGGTGCAGGTTTCACCCGAACTCGCTGTGCGAGGAGAGAAGATGTGGAGGCTGCACGGGGAGCATACAGTGAAAGAGACGAGGAAACTGGACATCACCACCAGATGGGAGGGAGAGTGGAGCGGGGATGGGGGGAAGAGGGAGCGAAAGGAGGAGAGGGAAGCAAACATACGAGACGGGGGCTCCGACACGGGAGCTGCGCGTGCTGCTCACGGGTGCAATCTGGCAGGCAGCGTGGGCATGTGTGTCGGAGACAGAGATTTACACGGGGAAAGGGCACCTGCTCAAATATTTATAAATTTATCAAGAAAACATGTTTTAAAAATGAAAAATAAACAGATGTACAAGTGCGAGTTGAGAAATACATTATGCAAGTTTGCAAAAGCTGAGTGGCGTGCCACAGGCAGCGTGGGAGTGGGGAGCGTGTGTGCGCTGGGGACGCGCGGGGTGGGCCGGCCTGTCCCCGCTTGCCAGCGCCCTCCGGGCACCCGGGCCGGGTGAGTGGGCCCAGCGCCATCCGGGCACCCGGGCCGGGTGAGCGGGCCCAGTGCTGAAGCGCGAGGGCGGTGGATAAGAAAGGAAGCACAGCGGGGAGATCTCCTTGCGAAAAAATCTTACGTTTGTGGCCGTGCATCCCGGGGTGCCAGGAAGGCCTGGGGGCCTGCAGAGAGGGAGGCCACACCGCCCCGGCCTAGGAGGGCCATCTCAGTCCCCATTCTGCCACTGACCCCCATTCTGCCACTGATCTGCCAACTGTCCCGGGCCACCTTGAGGGAGAAGAAAATGAACTTATGCGGCGACAGTGTTTTGGCTGTCCGCAGGAAAGGCAGTATAAACCCAGGCCCTGGTTACAGGGGTGAAGCTCTAAGTCACAGATGGACATTGATGAGCACATGAGACCCTCACTCAGTGCGGAAACGCAGCCTATTATTGAAGGGGTTTCCAAAACCAGTGGGAGAAGAAGTAGGAAATACCCTCTCCCGTTTTTCAGCTGAACAGTATCAGCAGAATGCTTTAGATATCTGCCTGGTGTGTGGTTTAGACTTTATTACTTGTTGTTATTGTTATTAGACTTTATTATTTGTATTGCAAAATTACACAGAAAGAATTCTAATTACAAAATCAGGCATTCCTTAAATACGGGCGATGAGAATCATTCTACTTCCTGGAGAGGGGCATGGGGCCGAAGGACCTCAGACGGGTGCTCAAGGCCCTGACGGCTCGTACTCAGCCGACTCAGCCTTGCTGGGTCCCTACTGAAGCCCAGTGGGCTTTCAGAAGACCCACACTCACCAGCAGCAATGTCTTGTTTCCTTATGTGGCTTAAATACCAATTGTTGTTGTTAAAGCAACATTAAAGAAAAAATTGAAAGAAGAAATTCATAATCCCACAACCCAGTCACAATTTCAAATACGTTTCAGGGCAACTGACATTTCCTGAGAATGGCCTGCACTGGTGAGACTGAGAGTCAATCCAGTCACTGTCCTTGTTGTGAGGAACCTGCCGTTCGGGCCAGGGGACACAGACACACGTAGATGCGCCGAGACTGCAGTGATAAGCACAAAGCCAGAGGTCAGATCAGGGCTCCCAGGGTGGGTGCTCAGCCTCACCGGGGACTCAGGAAAGGAGTTTCCTTGAGAGGGGACAGTAACTTGATTCTTAAAAGATGAAGGATGAAGTCAGAGAAGAAAATGCTTGAGGAATGTCCAAGGTAGAGGGGAGACAGCAGAGGCAGAGACAGAAGCAGAAACAGCAGGTGGCAGGAAGTGCAAAGCATTGGATTCTGTTAGGGGTCAAGTTGGAGGACAGGAGTGGTAGCTATGGACTAAACCTGTACGAGCAAGCACGAATGTCTTGCTGAGAAGCTTGGGCTGTATTTTGTAGGAGAGGGGAGCCACTTCGAGGAGCAGGTTTCCCCTGCTTGGTGGGAGTTAAAAAAGAAAAAAGACCCTGAGGTCCAAGACTACCTTGATAACAGGTAACATTTACTCATGCTTTTCAAATGTCTTATCTTGTTCTTAGGTTCTCATCAGGACGGTGGCCTACCATGAGGCAAAGGATCACCACGTATAGTCTGAGGACCCAGACTTAAATCATAAGCACATCACGTGGCCTCTCTCTTCTTCAGCCCGACATGGACATGGCACCTAAGATGTTTCCAGTATTTGGCCAGCAGAAAAGTCAAGCTGAATGAAGTTGCACTGGTTGCCTTCAAAGCTAACTCAGGAGCCAGAGGCCACCTGGATTTAGCTTAAGCTTGCTTACCGAGGAGAAGGGGGCACCGAACTCCCAGTGAGGGGAGCCTGGGAGATGGGGGCTTGTTCCCTGAGACAAAAGGCACAGGGAAGAGGTGCCGGCCCCTTGGAGGCAGAACTGCAAAATCAAGGACCCTGGGGTTTCGAGGGCCTTCAGGAGGTCACGTGGTATCCTATCTGGATTCTACATTCTGCTGTGGGAGGCAGGAGAAAGCAGTGGTGAAAAATACAAAATTTGGGTTTGCATTCAAGCTCTGCCACACAGTGGGGAGTTGGCAAACCTCTCTGCACTCATTTCCTCCTCTGTAAATGGAGAGAAAATAGAATCTAAGTCACAGGGTTGATGTGAGGATTAAATGCTATCATTTATAAAAACAGCTGAGAATAACACCTGGTTCACACATGTATGCAATAAATGTTAGCTACTAAAACATGCTGAATGGAACAAAGAGAAAGAACTCCCTCTAAATGCAGGGAGGCTGAAGGATATAAAATATTGAAACGTGATCACACACCTGCACAGACACACACAATTCCAGATAGAAAGCTATTTACTTTTGTTGAGAAACTTGTTTAAAAATAAACCGAAACCTCTCGGAACGGTGACCCTCTCTCCGCTTCTCTAGCCTTCCCCATTGCAGCCTTGCATGAGTCCTGATCACTCCGGGTTGCTGATAGCAACAAACGGATCAACTCACCAATTTGCGGATTTCACATTCTAAATTCTGAATACAGTCTAGTTTCCTCTTGCGGCAGCGCTGGGCTGCGATGCGGTTCTTGCTGCGCCGTCGGACGTCGTGAATGAACTCTAACTGTTCTGAGGTTAGCTTGTGCATCTTAATCATCATCTGGAAATCGTTCCTTGGAAGATCTGTGATTTGATCTACAGGAAAGGGAAGTTTGACCTGAAACCAAGAACAGTGGAATATGATTATGGTGGTTGGATTTTAGTTTGGATTCCAGCTGGCAGAATATTAAAAAAAAATGGTAAAACCTCTTTTTTTTTTTTTAAAGATTTGATTTATTTATTTGTGAGAGAGAATGAGAGACAGAGAGCACGAGAGGGAGGAGGGTCAGAGGAAGAAGCAGACTCCCCGCCGAGCAGGGAGCCCGATGCGGGACTCGATTCAGGGACTCCAGGATCATGACCTGAGCCGAAGGCAGTCGCTTAACCGACTGAGCCACCCAGGCGCCCGGTAAAACCTCCTTTTTAAGATGACCAGATAGTATGGAAACTATTGAAAGCAGGCAGTGATTAATTCTTTCTTGTCTCAGATATAAATAAGATGTCACATTTAGAGAGTCAAACAGAATGTGAACACACAAATTGTAACGTGGTTATCGCTCCTGAGATTTCTGAAGCAAACAGCATGGGAGATATTGGAAAATGTGGACTTTTTCACTGTTACAGCAATTTTGTAAGAAAGGCTATATAGTTAGTTGAAACCTACTTCCATGGAGCCTCGACTCAATAAAAGATCATCATCTAAGGAATTATCTGAAACACTTGAATGAGGAGAGCACCACACACCTCAAAGAGGCTGGAAAGACGAAACAACCAGTGGGATTTTCAGTAACACGGCATAAGAAGAGGCAGCGAGAGAACTCGGGTAGTCTACACCGGGGTGGACTAGGAGTTGAAAGTGGGCTTTAGTCCTTCCACCAGACATGAGACCTCAGGCTAGTTACCTTACTTCTCCGAGCCTCAGTCTCCTCATCTGCAAAATGGGGCGTGCTTCTGAGCTGGCTAGGGCTCTACAAAGTTGGGCACTTTGGCAGATTGTATTTTCCAAAAATACAATGGCCATCCCATCTCACATTTCCTTTTACAACACGATGTTGACTTTTCCATATCCAGAGGCGGGATGCACATTTCTGCCTCTGGATCATCACCATGTGGTGGGAGTCACGGTGTGTAGCTTGAGGTTGGGTCATAAAAGGAGCTGCAGCTTCCTCTTAGGCTTCTTGGGCTGCTCCCTCTGGAGGAAAGCAGCTGCCAGGCCTACAGGACTCCCAGGCAGCCCCGTGGAAGGCCCAGGCCCGTGTGGAGAAGAACTGAAGCCTGCAGCCAACAGCCAGTGTTACCCAGCCAGTCATGTGCATGAACCACCCTGGACGTGGATTCTCCAGGCCCCGTCAAACCTCCAGAGATGGGAGGCCCCAGCCACTGTCTTCAACCTCATGAGGTATCCCAAGCCAGAAGTGCTTACATGGGCCACTCCTGAGTTCCTGCCCCACAGAAACGGTGAGCGATCTTAAACGATTTAAGCCACGGAGTCTGGGGATGATTTGTTATGCAGCAGTGATAACTGATGCAGATACTGTCAGCAGCAAGATTCCAACGTCCAGGCTCTTGACAAAGCAAATAAGCATTATCCAAGGAGAGGATGAGAGTCTCTGGGTGGATGGATCTGTGTCCTCCTTATATTCTGTCAAATGCACAGGCCTGGATCTTCAGCACTGCCCTCTCCAAGACTCCTACTGATGATGCAGGGACTTCAGGGTTCAGTTCTGGTTCCGTTTCCGAAAAGGAAGGTTGTGCGTTGCTTGGCTAAGAGACAAAGTGTCTGTCTCCGGGGCTCAGATTCACTTAATTCTTGCTTACATCAGCATCCGCTTTCGGTGGACCAGCAGATGGCGCTATAAACCCAAACTTCTTTCAAGTGCCAGCCCTGCGCTGTCCAATGCAAACAAGAGCTGTGATTTTGCATTTCTAGCAGCCACATTAAAGGGAGTGAAAAGAAACAACTGAAATTCATTTTAATAGTATATTTAGTTGAGTCCAATAGGTCCACAATATTTTCAACATGTAATTAATATAAACCGTATTGAGATAGTTTACTTTTTTAGCACTACATTTTCAAAATTGGGAGGTGTATTTTGCACTTAGCACAATTCAGAACGAGGCACGTTTCTGGGGCTCAATAGCCACGTGTGGCGTGTGGCTGCTACATGGACAGCACAGCTCTGGGAGACGGAACGAGTGGGACGCGGTGAACTGGAGTAACCAGAAAAACAGGAGGATCCGGGTTTAATTGATCAAAATATTTACGGGTGCAGAGACCAAGCCCTCATTAACATTCAGAAGCTGCAGTGTTATGTCTGCATCGCATCGTTCAGGGGAGTCAGATGAAGATACTCTATTCTGAGCTCAGGCTTTTGCTCTGATTGCATCAGATGCAGGAAGACAAGTCTAAATCCTGGCATTTATGGCTAGTTAATCCCCACGCACAAAGGCATTCACACTGCACGATCATTTGACTTTCCTGTGGCTGGATGCAACTGCTTTGTCAGGTTCCTCCATAGCTCCAAGCCTGCTGGACGTGGCATGTGCCGAGGGCTCCCAGTGGGTGCTCTGATTCAACTTCCGCCTGGTGAGCTGGATCCCGTGACACCTGTACAACTTTGGCCCAAGAAAGCAACATCGCAACAGCACACATTCCACCACACTCGGCGCAGCCCGGCTGCCACTGCTGAAGGCAGGCAGCCAGGGAAAGCCAGCAGGCTTTGTCCGTGGGCTGTGTTTGCACAGGGCCTGGATACGAAGAACGTCTGATTTCCCTTTATACCCTTTGGATAACAAACGGACACTCCAACCCTGGACAGTGCCTAACTCACACGGAGATCAGCCAGGCGGGGACACGGATGTTTCCACACCAGGCGGAAGCCTTGTCTGCACCCAGAGGTTGCAGCACCGCGGGGCCTCGTGCAGTCTCCCCCTCTGCCGACAACAAAGCAACGCTGCTTCTGCGCTCAATCCTGTTTACTTCTTTTCCCAGAGAATATGTTACCTACAGTTCGGGCCACAGGGAAAGTCAAAAGGCCTCCTAGACCGAGAGCTACTGTATTTAAAATCATCCAGACAGCGAATATAAAACACCAGGGAAACAGGACAGAGGTTGACAGGAAAAGGAAAAATCAACAATGCTCGTTTCAAAGTCCTTGAAGCAAAAGGCCATATAAAGTTTGGGCAGAGCTGTTGCAACTCCAGCTGCTTTTTAAAGAGGTCAAAGGGAAAGAAAATAGTCAGCTATAGACCTTCTTCCATGGGAAAGAAACCCCACGGCCGACCACTCTTGTTTCTTCCTAATAGGCTCTGTTGGCCCTCAGGCAAGGGAGAGCTTCCACGGACTACCAAGAGGAAGTCCCGAAGCATGCTTGGGATGCAGCAGTGGTTAACTTGGCCACAGCTCTTTTTTATTTGCAGAGCAGTAAGTTCCAAGCCAGTGGACATCTTCCCTGGTGATAAAGAGCAGCCAGAGACTCCCTTATGGATCGGGGAGAATATTCCATTCTCAAGCTTGCAGGCCCCCCAACACTCCCCAAACGGGGCTCAAAAGTCAGCTAATGCGACGCGGCCTTCGAAGGTTCAAACTCTTCAAGGGGGCGGAGACCCTTCTCCCGTTCTTCTGGAGAATTCTTATAACCGAAATGGGCCCTAGAGGGCTTACCATTTATTGTCCCTCCACACACTTCTTCTTCCAGGATTTTACTTCACAGCAGTGGTTTCGTTTTCATTCACTGGACTCTCAGAAACAGCGCGAAACACCCAACGTAACAAGATGAAACGTCCTGCCAGTTCCCTTCACCACCTGTCTGAACACTGGCCTGCACCTGCTGTCAGCTACCAGATGCACAGAAGGCGAAGCCCATCAGGCCTCTGAGGCTAAGCACGCTGCACAGCAGGGGAAGGGCCCGCGGGGCTGAGGGTACTGATTTCTCATGGGTGCTGCTCATCCCCACACCCTCTCCCCGCCTCGGCTTTCAGTAGCGACTCCGAAAGTGAGGCGCAGCCCCTGAGTCAGCAAGCCGAGGGCCCAACAGGGCCCCCAGCACGGTCTGCTACTGTTGACTTGCTACTCCCTCTCCTCCTCGGCCCTCTGGAGCACGACTGGAAGAACAGGACAGAGGGCTTTTCAGCCCAGTTGCAGGACCGAACCGCTAAACAGCAACCGGAGCGGGGTTAGACCTTCTGGGCGCTCCAGCTCATGAGCACCTGGTGAAATGGGGCGCCTCTTCTCGCCCAACAGAAATCCGTTGTTCTACTTCTCTCCTTACCAACAACCACCCTGTTCTGCAGCCAGAACTACTCTTTGCTCCCAGTTTAGCAAAAATACCCATTAAAAATGATAAAAGAAATATAACTTCTTGCAGAAAATTCAAATATGAGACAAAAGAGGAGACAAAATTCCCACCCCCCAAACAATGGCTGTCTTGCTCAGGTGGGCTCCCCTCTGACCTCTGTTTCCTCTGTATCTTTTGTGCAGGGTTGTAAGCAGACCACAGCCCCCTTGCCTCACCGTGCCTCTTACCACATTTCACTTGCCCGGAGCTGCTGGTCTGCTGAACGGGACCTACTGGAGAAGCAGGGCAGCGATGCAAATGTTGCAGAAAAAGCTGAAAGCAAGCACTTCCTCTAGAATCCCAGCCGAAGCTGGTTTGCAAATCTTCTTTCCTACCTCCTTTCTTGGTTTCACTACCAGATGTTGAATAGAAGCCGCAGGAGTCGGATCATGCTAACAGTACCCCGAGGCCCAACACCCTTGACACGTATACTCTTACAAGACCCTGGGATCTCTGTGCCTCGTCGGGCGGGAGGGGGAAGCAAGATGCCCATCGAGCTGATGATTCAGTGCTGCGGGCAGGGGGACAGCCAGGTCCGTGCTAGACAGATGCCCGAGACAGAATCTCCCATCTCCACTAAGAAACATTTCCTGCACAACTGTCCTTCTACCCTCTATTCTCATGGTCCAGTTTGCAGAACAAATGCAGGACACCTGGGATTTAGGTGTACTGCAATTAATTAGCTGTCTGACCTCAGGCCAATCTTTCATTCTCTCTGTCCTGAAGTTCTTTGAGGATCCGTGAGAGAGAAAGATAATACATGCCCTACTTAGCTTACAGA